TGTGTGTGTGTGTGTGTGTGTGTGTGTGTGTGTGTGTGTGTGTGTGTGTGTGTCTGTCTTACAACAAATTCACTTTTAAAAACAAGGAGTTGACTCCCTAGCAGTGAAGAAGTAGCTTTTGAGTTGAGTCTTCCAGGCTAGACAAGAAGGAGGTGGATGAACAAGAAGTTGGGTACCCATAGGTGAAATCAGGGGTACAGAGAGAAGTGGGAGGGGCAGGGGCCCAAATCGCCAGCTGGGGACTAGTCAGCAAGTGAGTGACTCAGTCCTGTTTGTGTTTAAATAAGAAAGAGCATCCAGCTGTGTTACAGAAGTGGGAACAGGTTGAGGCTGGAGAAGTAAGACCAACTAAAGAGCTGATGGGAGACCCATGGTAAAAGGGGCTGCTTTACGACAGGTGCAAGACAGGAGAGGAGGAAAGAGGTTCCAATGTTTTAGGAGATGGAACCTGCTCACTAGGACATGTAGGGAGAGGTAGAAATTTGGGCTGTTTTTTGGGCTTAGGGAGTAAGGGATGCAATTGGAAAAAGAGCTAGGGTGTAATATTAACGTGGGACATGTTGATTTGAGGAATTCCTGTCTGCTATCCTGGTGGTGATTAGCACAATAAGCAGAGGGGAGCCCAAAGCACAGGAAAGAGGTCCGGACTTGGGTAGTTTGGAGACACACCTTGGTTGAAGCCACAGCTGGGGCTGATTGAAGAGGAACCTGGTTTTTTGTCTTTTGTTTTTCTTTTGAGTCAGAGTCTTACTCTGTCACCCAGGCTGGACTGCTCTGGCATGCTCACAGCCACCCTAGCGACTACCTGCTGGACTCAGGCGATCTTTCCACCTCAGCCTTCCAAGTAGCTGGAACTACAGGCATGTGCTACCACATCCGGCTAATTTTTTGATTTACTGTAGAGATGAGGTCTAACCAAGATGCCCAGGCTGGTCTCGAATCTGTGGGCTCAGGCAATCCTCTCACTTCAGTCTCCCAAAGTGCTGGGATTACAGGCTTGAGTTACCTCACCCAGTGGAACCTGGTTTTAATGGGACAGTTAAAGGAAAGATCCTCAAAGGAGGTCAGAAAGGAACTGTGAGAAGTGAAAGGAAGGAGTATCTTTAAGAGTAGTCAGGCTAGCCAGGTACAATGGCTCACACCTGCAATCCCAGCACTTTGGGAGGTGGAGGCTAGAGGATTGCCTGAGCCCAGGGGTTCCAGACCAACCTAGACAACTTGGAAAGACCTTGTGTCTTCAGTAAATTAAAAAAAATTAGCCAGGTGTGATAGCACATACCTGTAGTTCCAGCTACTTGGAAGACTGAGGCAGAAGGATCACCTGAGCCCAGCAGGTTGAGGCTACAGTGGCCGTGAGCATGCTACTGCACTCCAGCTTAGCCTGGGTGACAGATTCTGACTCAAAGGAAACAAAAAAAAAAAAAACCCCACACACAGATTGGGAAATGAATGGAATAAAGTAGAGTGCCTAATATGAAACTTGGTTCATAATGGAGGTGAGATAAGCGATAGACAGCTTCTTACTCATCGTGATGCTTAGAAAGGAGTTCCTTCCCTGTTCCCAAATGCTGTTGGATGAACTTTTAGCACTTGACAACTCTTAGAGGTAGCCTTGACCCTACTGTTAATTAGCAACTTTTTTTTTTTTTTTTTGAGTTGGAGTCTCACTCTGTCACCCAGACTGGAGTGCAGTTGCATACTCACAGCCACCACAGCCTCAACCTACTGGGCTCAGGTGATCCTTCCACTTCAGCCTTCCAAGTAGCTGGAATTACAGGCATGTGCCACCATGCCCAGCTAATTTTTTGATCTATTGAAGAGATGAGGTCTTGCCAAGTTGCCTGGGCTGGTTTCGAATCTGAGGGTTTAGGCAATCCTCTCACCTCAGCCTCCCAAAGTGCTAGGATTATAGGCGTGAGCCACCGGGCCCAGTCACCTTTTTTTTTTTTTTTCAATCTTTGACTGCTCCCTCTCAGCGGAGAACTTGTCCTGTGCCAAACTATGTCATCTTTGGCACAAGTTTTCTAGGCATTTCTAACCTCAGTTTCCCTGCAAAATGGGGATAATGAAAGAACACAGAGATTGGATTTGAAACCTAAAGGTAATGGAGTGGGTAGGGGAATTAGGGTTCAAAAATTACCTGTGGGATACAATGTTCACTATCTGGGAAATGGACCACCTGAGACCCAATGCCTACCACTCTACCATATGTCCATGTAATGAACACGCACATGTACTCCTGAATCTAAAATAAAAAATAGAGCCGGGCTCGGTGGCTCAGCCTGTAATCCTGCGCCTTTGGGAGGCTGAGGTGAGTGGATTGCCTGAGCTCGCAGGTTTGAGACCTGCCTGAGCAGCAAGACCTTATCTCTACAATAAATCAAAAAATCAGCCGGGTGTGGTAGCGCATGCCTGTAATTCTGGCTACTTGGAAGGCTAAGGAGGAAGGATCGCCGAAGCCCAGCAGGTCGAGGCTGCGGTGGCCGGAAGCAGCCACTGCACTCCAGTCTGGGCGACAGAGTGAGACTCCAACTCAAAAAAATAAATAAAAAATAGGCTGGGTGTGGTGGCTTATACCTATAATCCCAACACTTTGGGAGGCCAAGGTGAGAGGATTGCCTGAGTCCATGGGTTCGAGATCAATCTGGGCAAATTGGTGAGACCTCATCTCTACAATTAAAAAAAAAGCTGGGCATGGTGGTACATGCCTGTAGTTCCAGCTACTTGGAAGGCGGAGGCAGAAGGATCGCCTGAGCCCAGCAGTTCAAGGCTGCGATGGCTGGGAGCAAGCCACTGCACTCTAGCCTGGGCAACAGAGTGAGACTCCAACTTAAAACAAAACAAAAAAAGTAAGGTAATAAGTGCATGATCCGGCATACAAACATTGGACCAGACATCATTCTGTGTGCATTTGCAAACCTTATCCATACAGCCACCTTAAGGAATAGGTCCCATTATTTTCCTTCTGTCTTTGCATGTGACGGCCATTACATCTGAGGTGTAGCATTATGTCCTATCCCCTTACCCCCATTCCCTTGCAATCTAGCTCAAGGTGAACATCCACTGCCTCCTCCCTGATCTTCCAAATGCACTTCTGAAGAGCACAACCCAGGCCATTCCAGACAAAGATCTCTGCATGTCTGAAGAAGGACCTCAGTTGTTTGATTTGCATACTTCTGTGACAGACATGAAATCCACATCCCCACCTTTGTCACCTCTCCATCACCACCACCTGTGCTCTTCCCACCATCTGGGCTCCAACTCACTTATTTCCGAGCATGAATCACAAACTTAGTGCTAGGCCAAGTCTCTCAGAGGGGACTACTGACTAGGGGGTACTGTGGTTGCCAATAATTTGGGAGTGCTCTGACCATTGGTAGGCCCAAGGGTGTCAGATGTTCCCAGTGCAGGAGACAGTTCCTCAAACCACAGGCCATTTATATTAAGCCAAGCCAAGAACTTAACTTGGTTTATACCCAAACAGAAAATAGCTGTTGTGTCATTTTAATTACACATTGACATTTCCAGGAACGCAACTGTTATGTTAAATGAAGAAAAATTAGCCAGGCATGGTGGTGCATGCCTATAGTACCAGCTGGTTGGGAGGCTGAGGCAGAAGAATAGTCTGAGCCCAGGAGGTCTAGGCTGCAGTGAGCCACTATCATGTCACTGCACTCCTGCCTGGGTGACAGAGTAAGACGCTGACTCAAAATGAAGAGAAAAAAAAAAAAGGCCAGGCGTGTTGGCTCAAGCCTGCAATCCCAGCACTTGGGAGGTCTAGGAGAGTGAATTGCCTGAGCCTCTGGGTTCGAGAGCAGCCCAGGCAACTTGGCGATACCTCGTCTCTACAATAAATCAAAAACTAGCCAGGCGTGGTAGTGCGTGCCTGTAGTTCCGGCTACTTGGAAGGCTGAGGCGGAAGGATCGCC